AGCTTAGGTTTCGACTTTCGTCATCAAGCAAAAAAGGTTTCGTCTAACAACTATAATAAGGTTTAAAGAAGTTTCGCAATGCAGATTCTGTGCTTAAATTCAACTTTTGCCCTATTTGTAAAGAGAATTTTCCTACGATCGTATTAGTACATAAAATGGGATTATGTACTAGGTCTAGATGCTATCAAGAAAAATTAACCCCCAAAAAAGTTTTCAAATAAAAATGTTTCTGGATCCTGGTCTTCTTTTCAACAGTATATTTTCTTATAATAAATTGCAGAAGTTAGGAGAAAGTACACGTTTACAACAGAGATTAACAGAAGAGCAAAGGTTACTTTATAAATTTGTGAATTTTAAATGGAAGTTTATGATCGTTCATTATAAATATACAACTTAAATTAACACACACCTTATTATTCACATATATATATATATGTTATGAATTTTGTTTCCAAGTTTAAGTGTGTAATAAATAGGGCTCCAGCCCTGCGAAACGGCGCCGTTTACTAGTATGTATTTCGTGAAAGTTAACATTCAACTTTAGAATATTCTTTTATTTCAAGATAAGTTTTTTATGAATTCATTCGTAAAACCTTTATTCACAATTCTATCTAATTACAATCTTATTAGTATGGCTGTACTGAACAATAAAAGATCGATAATGTATTTCAGAAGTTGATAACTGAAACGAGTCTAAGTACTGAAATTATAATTGTTAAAATGAATAGGTCAGAATTAATCGTGCATTTGTTTCTACCATAACTGTCACAAATGTAATAGTAAGAATAAATGCAAAATTAATTTTTGTAGATGTAGACGTTCTTATTTGGTTGTGGAAGCGAGTGTCATTCGCATAGTATTAAATGCAAAGATAAAGAACATGCTACAAAAATAATTATTATATAGTGATAATACAATATTTTTGGCTATAAAAGTACATATTTTTTTATTCTATTTCCACTCAAGTTGTTTTGAGATTCAAAATCTACTTAAGTTGATTCAAAATCTACTTAAGTTGATTCGGAATCCACTTAAGTAGATTCTGAATCCCCAAAATTCAAAATCCACCTACAACACATATAAATAATAATTAACACCATTATTACTACCAATCTTAGATCATAAGGGTAATTTTTCAAGATTTATTTATATATTCATATTAACAATATATTCATATTAACAATTAACTTTTATACATATAATTATACAAATTACTAGCAAAATTTTTAGCTAACACCATGAAATTTTTTATGAAACTTCTAAATATAGCTATCATCATCATTTATATAATCATCGGAGTTGCTTTTCTGTTCATCAGGACTTTCTGATTCGACAACGTGATGATCATAAAAAGCTACTAAATAGGGCGAAAATTTCTTAAATTTAATAAAGAATAATTTACTGAGTATGTTGGAAAGTACTGAAAGGCCTGAAGCTATTAAAGCGAATAATGGAATTATATCGTACTCGACACTAGAAAGTATATAAAATATCTAATAAAATTTATATAGATATTTAATAAAATTAGGGTGTAATAAATATTAAAATTTTATATTTATTTGACGTACCTGAATAATAAATTGTGGTACATCTTGTAGAAATATGTCAGCGCAAGATGCCCAAAAAACTGTTTTCAATGCAATTGGAGACAATGGTGAATTAAAAAGTTCAAGTTCCATCAAATATGATTTTAATATTAATATCACATCAATATTTGCACCAGATAACAATGCGAATGAAGTAGCAACCCTTCCGTAATTTGCAAACCACTTTTGGAATTCTTCGCCTCCATGAAATATTATTAAAAATGCTACGAGTAAGTTGAATACTATGGGAGCAATTAGAAATACCGCGCTAATTTTTTTTCATTTGATAATAAAAATAAAAATTTAGTATGAGATTACCTAATATTTATAAATGATATATAAATCTTACCTCGGTATGAAAAGATTTGGGACGGTTTTTGCATCAGTAAATGTGAATATTGTAACTGTAGCGATACGAAATATTGTAATGCCAATTTGGAGAATGATAAAGTTTTGACTCTATATTTTTATATATTAAAGATACAGAGAAAAGAAATTAAAATCAATTCTAATATTTATTTTAATTCAAGAAAAATAATTACCTTTGGTGATTTTACTCTGGCAATGATAAATAATATTAAAAATAAAACTATGCCCACAAATAACAAAATGAATTTTGTCTCATGTAATTTAAAGAAATCTATTATTGACACTAATTAAAAAGAATCGATAAAATAAGTTATAACTAACTAAAATGATATTATTACAAAATAAATAAAAAAAAAAAAAGAGCATTTACTTGACGATTGAAATCCATATTCTTTATCTAACAACAACGTTTTATTTCCAAATAATGATATGCCCGTAGAATCTTTATTATTTATTAGTTCGTTTAAATCATTTTGGATTGCTGTGGAATTTTTTTTGTCACCACTTTTCATCTCATATACAATAAGCGAGATAAGAATTTGATCTGTACTGGATGGATCCTTTTGATAAAGTCTATTTGAGTCCAATCTTCTTTGTTCTGTGGGAATTATAACTAGGAGTTCATTTATTAAACTATTAAAAAATTCATTTCTTTCAGAATCACTTAATGTTTGAAAATAAATAGATCCAGATACTGTTAACCGTAGTTTTCCACGGACATCGCCTATTTGATTACAAGTTTTGAGTTGATATTAAGTACTTGTAGATAAACCAAAAATAAATTTAAAATACATTACCAGCTCGCTTTTGATTTGATGGTATGCTATTATCTTTTTTCATTAATCAATGAGATTCTTAATTAATAAACAAATTTAAATAATTATAATTAAAATACTATAATAATAATATTAAAACCTGTTTGAAAATTCCATATATTTTGATCAATTCCCATTATTGGTTCATTGTAATCAGAACTCTTTACAAAGTTATTATTAATTACTATATAATATTGGCCACCAGGATCATTGAAGGTACATGTAAGAACTTTGAGACTGAGGATGGTTTCTAAAGGAATGCATTTACTAGTATCACAAGTTCTTGAATTAATCAATAGTCGGGGGATATTAGTGTTATTGATTGTCTGATAAATAGTTAAATTGCCATCAGAAAGCGAAATGCGATTATAGTATGCGATGATGATCGTATCGGTATTTAAAGGTAGTTTGTTATCATTTCTTAGAGGATATGTTGAGCTTATTTGTAAATTACCATAACCACTATCTGTAATATGTAAATAAATATTATTACATTATTGATTATAATTTAACATCATATTTATTATTTAAATTCCCAAAAATATTTTACCGATTTGTGGAGGCGGAGCAAGTAGTGGAAGATCGATTGAAAGAAGGTTCCAAGCGGTAGTAGATTCATTTAGTGCTACTAGCATTGTATTATTTTGCAATACATCAAAGGCGCCATTAAAATTTGAGATAACTGGCTGTTGTGGAAACGTCCAATTAGATAATTTATCAAATTCATCGTAAAGACTAAAGTTGAAATTTATATTCAATCCATTATATTGTCGTGATATATACGCATATCCTCCATTAGGTAGTGTCCTAATATTTTCTGAGGTATTCGAAGATATGTCGAATATTGGATCCAATGACATCACAGATCCGGTGGAAAGAAAACGTATTTTAATATAAAAACTTTTTGTAGTTATATTAGGCGGAGCAGTGTTGTTAACTACGGTGACATTAACTGGGGTGATAACCTGTACGGCAGCAGTTGTAGTTGCGCTAACAAGTGTAGTCGTTGTTACATTAGAATAAGTAACGTTTACATTAGTTGGGGTAAAAATTCTTTGTAGTACGGGTATAATGCATGTATGGCCAATGAAAACGGAATCGACAGAACAATATAATTTTGTGAATGTTAGATTAGAAGTAGTCATTTCATATAAAATAATTCTTTGGTTGGTTCTTGTTTGATTATAACCTAATAATATCGCGTAGATTCCTGCTTTTGGGGTAAGTTGAGCGGATAACGGATCAGAAGTTTGAGGGCTATTAGTCGTGTTAGCATATACAATTGCATATCCGTCATTTAGAGTTGCAAATACAACAACTTGAAAGCTGGTAGAAAGGTTTACACTCGGAACTGTGTCATTCTGTAATAAAGAGAATACTCCATTGCCATTGCTGAAAAGGGAAATAAATGATTTGGTGTACACGTTACTTAATAAACAAATACATAAAACTCAACGTACTGTTGATATTGGGCCCATTTGAAAGAATCAGTTCCATTACCATTTGTCGCAGATAAACGTAAGAAACCTTTTTGAGGAGTAATATTATTAACTATAAATTCATTCGGATACCAACTTGTGCCTTGGATCAAGAAAGAATGTCCAAAATCGAGGTTACTACCGTAAGATAATATAATTAATTGCATAATCAATTATTATTAAATTTTTTTTTAAATATTTATATTATTAACAAACCTTATAACATTTCCATTCCAATCAAAAACCATTCCACGGTCCGTATAAGTTGTATTGTCAGAGGTATCAGTTGCATGAGTATATGTTACTAAAATGTATTGGTCAAATAATGGATAAAAATTTATGGGATTTTTTTGACCACTCGCAACCATACAATAATTGATATCTTGTATTTCAGTAGCATTAACATAATTTATTTCGATAACACTTCCATTTGCTTGAATAACACGAAGTAATAACCTCTGCTCATAACAATAATTATAGGTGAAGTAATTGAAGTAATTCGTCCGAGCGACACGAACAACTGAAGTACCCGAATTATCAGTATAATGTTTAATATCTATAATGTGAGGTTGAACCCCGGTAAGATTGTTATATGGACTTGGGCTTTCTTGATAGGTAAAGTATGAATATTGTACAGTTTGCGTAAATCCTGTTGGTAGAACGGCTAAAAGGAAGATAGTAACAACGTTGAATATTAAATAATTCGATATCTTCATTTTTCTTAGTTTATCATTTAAGAATTTAAGAAAGGTTATATAGCGATAGAGCTTAACGTTAAGTTGAGCCACAAATATTTATGTGCATTAACAAATGGGTTTACAAAATTGGAAATGATCATTCGATAGTTTTTTTTTTTTTCTAGAATACAGTGATTGCATGATAAAGTTTGAAGAGCCGGTAGCCTAGCAACTTTTTTAGTATCATACATTTCATAAATTTCTAAATTGGTTTCAATTTAATCAAAGTACGCGATGTCTATAAATTTATTGACATTACGTATCCGAAAAAACTATCTATATCGATATCCGAATATATCTCGCTATATATATTGTATTACTCTATGATCATGTGATCTCAGTTACATTGCATATTTCTATTGTATTTGATGTTTCCTATTATAGTTTAAAGTTTCCTTTTTATTTTAATGTCACAGTAACTAAATTTAGCCGGATGAGATAAATCTCAAACCCCGATAGTGGCGTAGCCATCTCTTCTCTTAGTTGTTGACCAACCTATGTACAGTAGTGCTCGGCAAAATCAAACAAAAACTCGATTTTCGAGCTTTTGAAAAAGTTGAGTATTTATCGGTTACACGAATAGGGTTTTAAATTATATTAAATATTTTGCTTAAACTTCAAAATAGCGATAGTAATATTCAATATAGTTTAAACCCCAATTTGTGTAACCGATAGATGTACAACTTTTTCAAAAACTCGAAAATCGAGTTTTTGCTTGATTTTGATTTTCTAAAATATTATCTTATATTGACGTAAATACAGTAGCTTATTAAAAACTAGGTCCGAAGTAGAAATTGAAACCGAGGAGTTCCGAACGCCATTCGATCACAAACTCTAGAATTTTGAGCGTTGGTTGATCGAAAATTCGAACGTTCATTGATTTTGTACTTATAATTAGGAGTATTTTAACGCTCACCGGAGGCGAAATTCATCAGGTGCTATATCTCAAAAACGTACTAAGTAAACAGGATTGGGTACTCTAAGTAAAAATGTTCAGGTCTCTAAAAATCTTATGAGAACTAAGATCAGGACCAGTGTGAAATTCAATTTTGATTTTATGTTTTCACTGAGAACATTTTTCTGGTCCTTAACGTTCTCAAAAATTTTTTAATGTTCTTTATATAGAAAAATTAAATTTATATAATATTAAAAAAAATCTATTTAATGTTCTCACATAGAGAACATATTTTAATGAATTATGTTCTTAAAACTTTATTAATGTTCTCGGAGAACATTGAGAACATTGAATTTCACACACTGATCAGGACCTAATATCTAGTCCACATTATGTTATATAAAAACCCCTCCATCTTAAAACTGCACCCTAACCCTAAAAATTCTTAGGCCGGTGAATAAAATTAATTCTTATAATTAAATCACTATCTTATTATTATCAAAACAGTTAATTTTTAACATTGACCGACGCTCGATTATAACCGAATTAAAAACTCAATGAAAGCTTATTCGATGTAAAGTATGGCGCCATAATTAGCCAATTATTACAATTATATTTACTACATACATTTTTACACAGAG